TCCTCTATCCCCCTCCCCCCCACCCCTCTCAAATGACTAGGAATGATTGGATAAACTTCTCAAACATTCAGTGGAGGCATCTACACATGCATTTACTCTGGCCCAAATTTACTCTGGTGTAATCTATTCTGGAGTAAGTGTTTTTGAGCAGGCATCTACACATGAGGGGATTAGGGAGCAGATTTGCACCCAGTTCCTTGCAAACCTGCAATGGGCCCCTGCTGCCAGTGGGGGGGAGCGCCAGATTCCCCTTAAGTGCTAGCTTAGGAACTGGCAGGGAGCACTGGGCCAGGAGACAGTTGTCTTCTGGCCCTGAGAGTTGCTTACTGCTGGGGCGGGGACAATGTTCCCCTGCTCTGGCAGCAGGGAGCTCCTGGCTCTGACTCCCCAGTCAGGGGCATGGCTTAAAAAGAGCTGTGGGGGCGGGGTAGGTCCCAGCCCCCTGCTTGGATCCTCTGGTGGGGCGAGCTAGCTGCCCTTACCCCTACAGCTCTTTCCAAGCCCTGTGCCTTGATCTCCTGATTGGGGCATGGGGCTGGAATCTGCCCCTAACTGGGACAGCTCCTGGCCAGCCCCAGGTTGCATGGGGAAGCCTGCTTGTGCAGCCAGGAGCTCGCTGGGGCCGCCCAAAACAGGACAGTCCCCAGCCACCGCCACACTGCGTACACTTCCCTGCGCAGCCTGGGGCTGGCTGGGAACTGTGCCAATCAGGGGCAGGCCCCAGCCAGCTCCAGGCTGGGAGGGGAACTGTCCCTAAGCTCCCAACCCCTGCTCTGCGATCACAATCGTGAATCATGGAGCGGAGCTTGTTTCTCCGGCTTCCCCCCCCCCCCCCCCCCCCCCCCCCGGCTGCGCGCTTGCGGAGCTGGGCAGGAAAACTAGCTCCCCAGCCCACACCAGTAGGGAGTTCCCAATGCCATCTTCTCAACTGTGAGACTCTTGTCTCCCGGCGTGACCCCTGCAGTCTAGCAGGGAGCTTGGAGACTGCCCCAGCAGCAGGCATCTCGTGGGGACAGGGAACTGTTTCCTGCTCCCTGGTAGATGGCTGACTAGGGGCAGATTTTTGCTCCCTGTTAGCTGTCTGTACAAGCGCTATGGCATCAATACTAATCTCGAGTAAATGTGCTACTTGCATTTGCAGGTAGCAAATTTACTTAGGATTAAGGAGATTTACTGCAAAGTAAGTATGTGCACATGTAGACGCACATGCTTACTTTGCAGTAAACTATGCTAATTTGAAGTTAAGTATCTCATGTAGACACACCCAGTGACTCCATTATAGCTCCCTGCAAGTGGCTGCTTGCTGGCTGTGCTTGCAGTTTTAGGGCCCATGGCATATCTGTCAAATCTTTTGCAGCTACAGGAATGATATTTTATGTCTATTAATTAAAAAAACAAACAACCTAAGGTACATGTCTATAGGGTCATATAACTATTAAACACAGAATTGTGAGTTCCATACAGGTGCAAGTCATCTGTTTGACAGCCCTAATGAAATCCTCTTTATCAATAGGGCAGCATCAAGCTAACATTTCCAGTGCACTTTGCCTGGCTACATGCATCAGCACTGACCTGTGAATATCCAATCCCCAGGTAAGTGACAGAAGTCACACCTGCAGGAGTGAAATTCTGGAAAAAAATGTTCATTAATTCAAGCTGGGACCTTTCTAGATCTCTGGCAGGCAATGCCTCCAGCGGTGCTTGTACACAGGCAAAATCATTTTGCTGTTCTTAATTACAGTTTGCTTTAAGGACTACAGTAGAACACTTCTTCTTTAAAGAATAGCTTATATAATAAAATATAAAAAATTGCTAGTAATCCAGCAGCCAGTTAAGAACCAAAATGTTTGATACAGTGTTTTCAATATACATTTACTTCAAGTACAAGTTTTGGCCATTGCAAATAGCCCTCTCCTGCTCCCATGTGGATGGTCATCAAGTTTCGATTCAAAAACCTTCAGAACAACAGCATGGAACTCATCCACATCTGCTATATGACATACTATTAGCTGTAGGGTCTTCTTGTTTGGATCAGCCCATATAGGGAAATAGCACAGATCTAGTGACTATCAGTTCCTTGCTCTGGGAGCAGAGTACATGATGTTACAGATGGCATGTTGCAATTCAGGAGCCCTTTTAGGGTCATTTGCAGAATCTGGGACATCTGCTTTTCCTGAAGACCAGTCTGGGGCTGTCTTTATACCAAGCAACTTGTATACCTGGTCCTGCCATTAGTGCGTGTGAGTGCTTATTTAGCTTTGCTTACATATAAAATGAGGGAATGACGGCTGCCTCCATTACAACTGAGTTCCTTGTCTTGCTGCTTCCAACAGAGGATAGGATACTGACCTGGAACCTCTATCGTCCCCCTGCTCTCCACACCCTGGTCCCTCCAACTAATGCATGATGTTTTTACCTGTTTTGAGGAAATGCACAACAGACCTGCAAAATATGATGTTTGGCATGTCTGCTAGTATTTGAAAGAACATGCTTTCTGTCAGAACAGATACTGAGATAAAGAATGGAAGGAGAGGTGAAACTTGTTCTAATGACAAGTCCTCTTCAACTTGCAGTATTGTTAGGACAACCACCTAACATTTTTTAAAGGAAAAATATCCTTAACAATTCTGCTTTTCTTACCTCTGTCTGCTATTGCATTAATAGCATTTAGGGGGAAGTAAACCACATCATTAAAATTCTGGCCTAGGAAAATCTTGGTATTTTACTGCAAGTCCTAAATATTCATGACTTTTAGTGATGAAGAATTTACAATTCAGCAGGCTTACGAGTTCACAGTAGAAATAAAATCACTTGGGTTATTTATGATGTGCTCGAAACATAATTGACTCCTTAGGTTTCTAATAGGGTACAGTGTTTAACTTATAAGCAGGGATCTTGGTTTTGTCTGTTTTTAAAATCCCAAAATTCTCTGATTTAAAATAAATCCCAAAGTTCTCTGATTAAAAAAAAAAACCAACAACCTCAAATCTGCGTTTTCCACAATTTAAAATGAAAGGTCACTATATATCTATATATAGATTCCAGATTAATGTAATGTTTTATTGATATATTTACACTTTTAAACCAGTTTAGAAGTCTACCAGTGGTTCAATCACTATAATGCATTACATTCTAAATACCTATGTATTTGGGTGTTTGATTTTTGGGTTTTTTATCATAGAAAATAAGAGCTTGGCCTGCCCCCTTCACTCACCAAGACACGGGTCCAGCTGTGGCTGTTCCCACAGCTGCTTTGTGGCACTGAGCAGCACAGTATGCTGGTGCTCTGCCCTTGCTATTGGCCCTCACTCTGAACCCACAGTCACCCCCTCAGCCCTGCCAGTGCCCCTCCCTCCTGATCCTCAGTCCCTGCTTGCCCCTCACTCCCTCTCTCCTGGCAGCAGCTCACACCCCCTGCACCAGGCTGCAGATCCAGTTGTACTTGCTGTTTTGCAGCTCTGAGCAGTGCTGGCCCCTGCTGTTCTGTTCTCTGAACCTGTGCCCAGGCCCCAGCAGTCCCTGTGTCCTTCCTGGGAAACCCTTGACTGGTCCTCAGGGATTGGGCTGGGCTTGCCTCTTGCTAGGCAAGTCCCTTCCCTTCCAAGCTAGCCTTCCCCTGCTTTAGTGGACCTGGGGGGCTCCAGACCTGGCTCTAGAAGCCACTTCTACCCAGAGTGCCCCCCCACATCTTTCTCTTACATACACAGACACACACAGTAGCAGCCACCAGCACAACAGATGGACAATGCTTGCCCCCCAGTGCCCTGGCTGGGCAGCATCCCTAGGCCTCAACTCTGCCCCAAGGGCACGTGGCCTCATGGGCAGGGATGCAGCCCATGCTCTGTCCCTCTTTCCCTCACTGAGCTACTGCCACCCCAGCTGGGCAGTATCCCCTGCTGCAGCCCAACTGGGATGAGCCACAGTGGGACAAGGCAGCCAGCCTATAGTGCAGGACAGGGTGACTACCATCCAATAGCCTGCCCTGCCAGATCTCACCACAGTCCCAAGACCCCCTGGCAGCATGTCCCTCATCTGACTGTCAGGGCCCCACCCAACCCTTCCAGAGGGGGTTCCCAGTTGCCCCCCACCCCCAGGGCCCAGCTCATAAAACCCCTACTTACTCCAAAGGCCACAAGAGGAAAGTGATGATTCTCAAGACCTGCCCTCACCCCTCTAGCCAGGGCTTAGGGTTTCCTGCCCTTTTGCAAATAGCTCTTGTAGGCTGGAACTCTGCCAATGTGCAGAACGCTCTTTGCAAAAGGGGAAAGCTGCATTTTCTCTCGTCAAAAGGGAAATTCTGTGTTTTTCTCCTTTAAAGGAGAAAATCAACATTTTTCCATGGGAAACAGAAAACTCGGTTCCCTGCTTATAAGTAACACACTTTATTTTGAAGACTTAATTTCAGGAAAAAGCTTTTGTTAAGGCATGTCAGATTCTACTGTTCTGTTTTGTAGACGTAACAGACTCAGCTTGTTTTACAAAGGAAGTTTTCTTTTCTCTGGAGGAAATTTCATATTTTCACCTAGTCTGGTGAATTACCCCCCAAGCAATCTCATGTGTGGATGTCCTTTCTACATTCTGTGTAGCCCATATATGTAAATTACTGTAAGTTGTTCTCTTTGTGGTGATTTCTTCTTTTCCTTTCCCACAAGATGATGATGAGTTTCTTAGTTTGTTCTGCATGATTTTTTATATCTGTACTGAAAGTATAAACATAGTTTTTGTGGTCACTAGTTCTTAGCTTTCTGAAGCATGGGATCAGACACTGCCTTCACATGCTAGCTTGTCTCTTCGGAGAGCCCAAGCCTGCATTCTTGTACAACCAAATCCTTACTGGTGGTAGTGGGGAGTTTGAAGTCCATAAGAGCAGTAGGATCGGGCCCCAAAATGTTAATAATAAAAAATAGCCTTTGGACACGTAACTGAATAGCAGATATGCTAGCCCTGATAATTTTAGCATGTTGATGCTGAAGTGTCTTTTTGGATGGTAAAGCTTGCCACATTATGCTATTATTTCTCATGTTTTTCCTTAATTATTAGAAGAAAGATAGATAAGGAGATTGTTTGCACTGGAGCAAGAACCTCATAGAAGTTTAACAAAGGTAACTTACAACTTCTGTCAGTGATGTCATAGTTCTCTAACCATAGCAGTGTAACAATTTGACTTCAGCTTATATTCTGTTTGTGGAGAAACTCCTGCTGGTTAGCAGCACTGGCATTCTTCATTTCTTAATGTGCACTTAAGGAAGAAGCCTTTTTTCTGTATTAATTGAAATTAGATAGTGGATTTTAGTCATTTTTGTTATAGTGCTATGCATGGGTGACAGTCTTTTTTTATTGAACATACAGTGCACTAGCTAAGTTCATTGCAAAGGAAAGCTGCTTTTGTTACAGTTCTTTTTTTTGAAAAGTAAGTAACAGTGTGGATAAGTTTTGTTAGAGAAACGTGACTATATAAACTATAGCTTTATGCTTGTTTGGATAAATGAGAGCCTGTAAATTCTACAAGTATTAAAGTTTTTATTCCAACTTTCAGAGTATCTTCTTTTATTTTTAGATGAATCTGCGTTCTGTATTTACTGTAGAACAACAAAGGATATTACAGCGTTATTATGAAAATGGAATGACAAATCAAAGTAAAAATTGCTTTCAGCTCATATTACAGTGTGCACAAGAAACTAAACTGGACTTCAGTGTAGTCAGGGTAAGTACTGAGGCCTTCCAAACTTGAATTTACATAACTTTTTAACATTTATTTACATCAGATATCTCTAGGGGAGCCACCATCTTTATCTCATTTTAAAAAAAGGCTTCAATACCCTGCTATAATATGTTCATTTGTACTGAGAGGGAAAGCTGTTTATAGTTTGTGTTCCTGTGAATGCCTATACATTTTTGAAGTATTTAGCAGGAGCTTATATGTCATCCAGACAGCAGATGTCCCTCCAGAAAAATCAAACTGCAAAGGAGGGTTGTCCTTCTGAAAACTTAGACTGCATATTAAATAAAAAATGTGAATGTTACTGTTGTTATCAGTAAAGCATTATGAAGCTGAAAAAAAAACCCAACAACCCTTTTTATTCTAAAATCTAGATTTTGACAGACCTATAATAGTACTTGTCAGCTTGTTTCTATGTCACGAGAGAGAGCATGGCCACTTGTTTGATGTTTACAGTGGTCATGTGCTGTTACAAAACAATATTTTGGGTAGTTTAGTGTGAATGGTGTCTTGTCCAAAGATGGTAAATTTTGTGGGAGGTGATAATACTATTTTGCTGTATATTTCTTGAGGAAGGAGAAAGCAAGAAGCAATAAAGAGAGTAGATATTATCCTCAACCTAGCAGAAACATAGAGAAGCAGCTGAAGAAGAGATTTCCTGATGTCCTTTTCCTATAGGTGGTGTATGTATCTTATTTGTTGTTCTCAGCGTGCCTTGGGACCCAAAACTATAAAGGACGTGGCATGGTCAGTGCCTGATGTCCCACAGGTTTACTCTGTTTTGTTGTGCTGATTAGCTGTCTACTCCAGCTCTCCCAGGCACTGTTCTTTACCTCCAGTCCTTACTCCCTACCTTCTTTTCCTTCCCCAGTCACTTTCGTACAGTTTTTGTCTCTTTATCTAGTATCTTGACAAACTCGCTCAATAATATAATATTATAACACACAGACCATTTTTAAACTGTGGAACTAATGTGTCATTTGCAGAATGAACATTGTTTACTCTGCTTTAATTTTGTAATTCCAACCATTCTCCCCCCTTCTTCCCACCTTTTCTGTTTTAGATTATGTGCTTGTTGGCATAGGGCCTATCACAAGGGAGCTTTGATATTTGGGGCTTATGGCTACAGCCATACTAAAAAATAGAAATTAATAGTATTTATGTTTTAAATAGAGAATATGGTAGACGCTTAATTTCATATTTTTTCCTGAAGATAGAAAAGTAGTCTCTTTTAATATCAAGTTTTTTGATGGTCTTTGTAGATTACTGTATTTGCAATTTTGACACATTCTTAAACCAACTCAGAGGTATTTTTGTGATAGCTTGTCATGACTTATTTTGGTTAGTATTCTTTTTGCAGCCAGGTGTTTCTTTTGAAAATGTGGCCCTAGACTGCAAGTCCCATAAAAATGCCTTTTTTCCTTTTATAGTTTCATAGTTTCTAGGGTCGGAAGGGACGTTAGCAGATCATCTAGTCCGCCCCCCTGCCATGGCAGGAAGAGCACTGGGGTCAAACGACCCCAGTAAGGTGGTCATCCAACCTCCTCTTAAAAACCCCCAGGGTGGGAGCCTGCGCCACCTCACTTGGAAGCTGGTTCCAGACCCTAGCCGCCCTGACCGTGAAGTAGCGCCTCCTGATGTCCAACTTAAACCTTCCCTCCGCCAGCTTGTGACCATTGTTCCTGGTCACTCCTTGCGGCGCTCGGGGGAACAGGGACTCCCCCAGCGCCTGCTGATCCCCCCTAACCAGTTTATAACAGGCCACAAGATCCCCCCTCAGCCTTCTCTTTTGAAGGCTGAACAGGTTCAGGTCCCGCAACCTTTCCTCATAGGATCTACCCTGCTGTCCCTTGATCATATGAGTGGCCCTCCTCTGGACCCTTTAAGGAATTTGAATTTGTGAATCCATTTTAATTTGAATATTTTATAGCCAGACAGCACAGATATAAGCTGTTTTGTTAATTTTTAACATAATGGCAATTGCGATAGTATCTTACTGATTTATGTTAAGGTCTGATATTGCTATCTAACTGATATTGCAAAACACTGTAAGTTCTTGTATGTTTACAGTAATTGTTTTTTATTTCACTGTTTTAGTGTCATATTTGTTGGATGATCAGAAGAGGTGATCAGTAATATACTGATTTCAGTTAAAGTTCATTTGGGAAAGTATTTTTGGTCAAAATCAAAAAATGAGAACCACACCAGAATGGCTAGGGACAGAAATAAAAAAAGCTGGGGCCTGATTTGATTCAATCTTTGCAGATTATTCTAACGTGCCTCAGTTGAACCAATTTGCAAGTGCACAGACATTCCCTTTTGGAGTGAAAGAAATGCAGGCACATTTCACCCAGCTGCAGGGAAGCTGTCCTGGGGGTGGCATGGCCAGCCTGGGCAGTAGCCTGGACTGAACTGACCAGGGAGGGGTTTAATTCCCCCCTTCCCTGTTCCACCTGCACAGACCTAAGCCAGGGTACGCTGGGCACTCACCTCTTGCTGCTGCAGCAGTGGGGCTGGTCATAGCCAAGCACCAAATGGCATGGCCCCTGAAGCAGAGGGGACAGGAGGGTTATTCCCCCCTCTGCCCCTCAGAGACCGCAGCCAGGATCTGACCACCACTACTACTACTCGCTCCCTGTCTGGGGCAAGCAACAGAATAAGCCCCCTTCTGCCCTCACATACTCCCTGCCCCCTGCCCAAGGGGCCCTGGTGGCGAGCTTCTGGCCACACCCCTGCTTGGCCAGTGGAGTGCAAAGGGGCAGGGCTCTTGATGGGGCCAGCAGCACCTGTCATGGTCTCCAGGGAGCGCAAGCCTCTTCCCACCGGGGGGGCTGCACTGCAGGGCAGGCAGAACTTCTGCAGACTGCACACAGCAGCACTGGGCCAAGGTGGGGGCCAGAGTGCCCCAATCCACCCACACACACCCACACACTGCCGTTGCTGTCCAGTCCACAGCAGTTTTCCCTGTCACGCAGTGTGGGCCCTTGCTGGGAAGGGGCTCATGCTCTGGGAAACCATGACATGGACTGCTGCCCCCATCATGGTTGCTCCCCCCTTGCTGCTCCAGCAGCCAGGCAGGGCCAGAGGCTGGCAGGCAGGGCCCTTTAGATGGTGGCAGGGAGGAGGGTTATTCCCTCCTCTACCCCCAGGGGACCACAGCAGGAATAAACCCGCTCCTGCCTCATCCATCAGAGGGGAGAGGATGCCAGAGGAAGGGGGCAGGAGTGGCCTTATTCCTCTGCTGGCCCTGGGTACAGAGTGAGCAGTAGTGGTCAAAGTGGGCAGACCCTGCTGCAGTGCCCCGGAGTAGAGGGGGGAATAACTCTGCTCCCTGCCCCCCACCTAAGGGCCCCTGGAGGCTGGCCAGTGGCCTCACCCCCACCCAGCTGCTGGAGTGGCGAGGGGGGAGCGACTGTGATGGGGGCAGCAGTCCCTGTCATGGTTTCCTGGAGTGCGAGCCCCTTCCCAGTCAGTGGCCACACTGCAGGGCGAGGAAAGGTGCTGTGGATTGGATGGCGATGATGGTGGGGGCTCTGGCCCCCTCCGAGCCAGTGCTGCCGCATGCAGTCCACAGCAGTTCTGCTCGCCTCACAGCTGGCCCTTTGCCAGCAAGAGGCTTGTGCTCCCCAGACACTGTGACGGGGGCTGCTGCCCCCATCAAGAGCCCTGCCCCCTTGCCGCTCCAGTGGCCGGGTAGGAGCGCAACCAGAGGCTGGCTGGCAGGGCCCCTTAGGCGGGGGGGCAGGGAGCAGGGTTATTCTCTCCTTCCTCCAGCATCTGGCAGACAGGGGTTATTGTGCTGCTTGCCCCAAGCAGGGAGCAAGCAGCGGCAGCAACAGTCGGGGCAGGCAGATTCTGGTTGCGGTTCCCCGGGGGCAGCGGAGAATAACTCCCCACCCTGCCCCCTTTGCCTTTGGGGCCATGCCAGCTGGTGTTTGGCCAGGCCCAACCCCGGTGCTGCAGCAGCAAGGGGGCTGTACCTGGTGGACCCTGGCTCAGGTCCATGCAGGTTGGACAGGTAGGAGGGAATTAAACCCCTCCCTTGCCAGTTCAGCCCAGGCTACTGCCAGCCTCGCCCTGCCCCTGATGCTAGTGCAGCTAGCGGAGAAGCACAGGTCTTGCTGGTGGGACAGGGGAGGGAGCGGGGAATTAACTTCCCTGTTCCCTTCTGGGGCCAGCATCTGGCCAGACCCTTGCCCCTGCCTGTCTCTATTCGGGTTGGGAAGCAGAGGGGTGGGGCTAGGGGTGTATATGCTTACATATACACAGGTAAGCAACAGGGACCAGGGCAATGCTGTGATTAGGGGGCCAGTGTACATGTCCACAGGAGGACATGTGCACTGGCCCCCTCTACACAATGCCTCTACACAAATGCTTATAGTATGGGAAACAAGCAGGAGGAACTTACCCTCCTGCTAGCTGACACCAACCCAGACAGTGGGGCTCACTGAAACATGGTGGGACCCAAAGCACAACTGGGCGGTGAATATCAAGGGCTATAGGCTGTACAGGAGGGACAGGACAGGGAGGAAAGGCGGGGGTGTGACGCTCTACATTAAGGAGGAATACACATCCTCATCAGGTAGCACAGAGTCAGAGGAGGGGCACATGGAAGTGCTCTGGGTTAGAATACAAGGCAGTCGAGGGGAAAGAGACTTAACGGTGGGGGTCTACTACAGCCACCCAACCAAAGGAAGGAGCTAGACCAGGAATTCTTAAGTCAGCTCACGGAGGTAGTCAAAGAACGTGGTCATCATGGGGGACCTGAACTTTCCAGACATCTGCTGGGAAGAGCAGTCAGCTAGGTCTGACTGCTCACATAGATTCCTAGCCCAAATGCAGGACCTCCATCTAACCCAGGAGGTGCACAGCCCCACCAGGGGAGACGCCTTGTTGGACCTGGTGCTGGCCATGGGTATCGACCTGGTGAGGGGGCTGCAGGTGCTCAACCACCTGGGTGACAGTGATAATTGCCTGCTGGAATT